TGGAAGAGAAGACAGAGAAGACATGATAGCGGTTGTCAAGTATCTAAAAGGCTATCAGAAGGAGGAGGGGAGAATTATTCTTGGTCTCTAATGATAGGACAAAAAGCAATGGGCTTAAACTGCACCAAGGGAGAGTTAGGTTGGACATCAGAAAAAACTTCCTGTCAGGGTGGTTAAACACTGGAATAAATTGCCTAGAGAGGTTGTGGAATATCCATCTCTGGAGATATTTAAGAGCAGGTTAGACAGACATCAATCAGGGATGATATAGACAATGCTTGGACCGGATGATCTCTTGAGGTCCCTTTCAGGTCTAGTATTCTATGAGAGTTGGGCAGCCTGGGAATATTCTGAATTTCCTTGATTTTGTATCTTAGTGCTGGCTGATGTACCTCAAATCTTCAATTAGTCCTAGAAACAGAAATAAACCGGAGTCCTTTACAATTCATAACAATGTTCAGGACACCTGGCATGTATTTTACTTAGGAAGAATCTGATCTAAGTCGCATTGAAATTTTTGCACTGACCTTATAATAGTTGAATCCATCTTTGTTTAAATTCAATCTACATCAAACTAGACCTGATAGAGACACTAACATGGACTAAGACCTTAAAAAGTAAGCATTAAAGAGAGGCTTTGGAACACAAAGCAGGTTTGTTTGTTAGCTAAAGGATCTTGGAAAGTAGGACAGTTTCTTAAGGAGGAACTATGCAGCTTCTGTATCCCATTACCATTTACCTCTAGATCATCACTGCTAATCCAGACCAGTCCCTTACTATCATATATTTGTTCTGCAGGCTTCTGAGAAAGGAGTCTGTAGTCTCAGATCACCTGTGGGTAGTTTTATGACAGACACTTGTTCACTATCATGGTTCCCGCTAAGCTGCATGGCTGTGAAACTGCCTATTGAGCCCTGTCCAAGGGTTCAGAGCTGCCATACAACTCTGTCATGGCTAAGGGAAAGATTCCTCTCCCCCAGCTGCAGCTGCTTCCTTCTGGGGCTGGAGGAGAGGTGTGTTCGTCCAGCAACATAAGGAAGCTGCTACAGCCAGGGAAGAGGTGCACTCCTCTGGCAGCTGCAGGTCCAAGAGGAAGGTGCTGCAACTGGGGGAGAGATGCACTCCTCTGGCCCTAGCAGCAGGGCCGGATAAGAAAGGAGCTTTAGGGCTGCAGCCCATAAAGCGCCTGTGTTATAAGCCATTCCTGAGGGGGATGGGGCAAGAGAGGCAGCAGTAATGCATGCTGCCATTCCTCTCCTCCCCCTAGGCTGCAGCAGTTTTGCCATGAGCACTGGGAAACCGTCCCCAGCTGCCCTTGCTTGGAGGCTCCACCCCCGCAACTTCCACTGGCTAGGAATCATGAAAAATGGGAGCTGTGGGAAGCGGTGCTTGCAGGTGAGCACAGGGAAGCCCCCCGCCATATGGGAGATGCTCCAAGTAAGCATCCCAACCACTGGCCCCAGCCCTGAGCTGCCTTCCCTAATTCCTGTTGAGACCCTGCACCACGTCCTAACTTCCCCCATCACAAACCAGAGCCCCAGCCATGAGCCTATTCCACTCCGCCTAGATGCCACACACCAACCATGAGACCCTCCTGCACCCTAACTCCTGCCCAGACCCTGTACATCCTCACCTCAACCTCCTGTCTTGAGTCGTCTTCTGCACTCCAAACCCCTTGGCCCAAGTCTGGATCCCCCCTCCTACATCCCAAATGCCTCATCCCCACCCTGAACCCCCTCCCCCACTCTAAACCCCTCAGCCCCACCCATCACAGATCATCCATGTGCAGAATGAATTTTGTTATGCACACCACTATGGAGTAGGGATGTTAAATTGCGAGTAATTGACTAATCGAATTGTCAATGCATTTTGCATTGACTATTTGATTAGTCGATAAGGCGCCTCTGCCTTTGAAATGTAGCAACAGCCCTAGCTTTGTAAAATAAATGCTCAAAACAACGACTATGTTCTTCTCACACATAGAAAGGCTTTTGGATAAAATGGGGATTATCTTGCCCAGAAACAAGTTTAGATCAGATTATCTTGCCCAGAAACAAGTATTGTATACATTACCTTAGTTAAAAAAAACAGTGAAAAATATTACACAAGTTAGCTGGCTCTGGAAGGATTAAGAAATACCTTGATAAACAGTTAATGATATGAAATGCAAAGCTCTTGGCTTCACTTCAGAAAAGTAATTATTCCCATCTGGGCACACACAACCTGCAAAAGGGCAACAGTTTTAAATGGTATGAGCAAATATTTAACAGCAGCCTATGGATCCTCCTTTTGAATATCAGGGGAAAAACTGAAAAAATGTTAGGCTGATGGATATAAAACAAGTATATAGGATCATATGCCACACACACAGTTCTAGGAAAGGTGCAAGCAAGCCCTCTTCTAAGAAAGATTCCAAACTATAATGGGTAAAGAAGAAACACTGCAAATAGTATTAGAGCAGTGCCTATGCTAATGAAATAAACCCCAGTTCCACAGGTGGACTTTTGTGTGTTTCCAAATGTTAACATAGATCCATGCACCACAGATGCCTTAATAAGCAAGTCACAACAAAGCAGATACTAATGGTCCCTGAAAGTTCCCATCAGCACCTCTCCAAAGATCAGTTACCAGGATATTGGAGAGAATAAAAATTAGTACCCACCCCAAAACATGGTAGTTCAAGAGTTCACTGTTCTCTTCATTTCAATTTTACAGCAGATACACTCCTCAGTGCAGCCTACCTATCTGCAATAGCAAAAGGATTGGTTTAAGAAAGATTTGCTTTCATGGGGACATTTTGTTCTGCTGACTGGTTGTTGTATGTGGGTGTGTGTGGGGGGGAGGGGGGGAGTTTACCGTTGTGGACTGTATTCTACTTGATGGCAGAGTGCCCATAGCGTGGGACTGGGGTGCTTTAGATTATGTTGAATAAACAGTACTTTAGATTATACTGAATAAGAATAAATGCCTCAACCCTGAAATGCACAGCAACTTGTTATCAAAACCTGCCTTCAGATCTTATGCACAAGCTAAATCCCTTAACACCAAACCGTAAAATATGATCTGAGATAAGATACTAGTCCTGCTCAGTGGCAGAATATTCATATTTTACTAAGGAGAAAACCTAGACTTGGATACCTGCCTCAGACACTCACTAAGATATGGATGTTCCCAGCCCCTAGCAGGCAAGCTATGTGACCAAGAGAAAACAAACCCTGATTAAGAGTAGCTTGTACAAGTTCCTTACTTGGTTCAGTCCTAGCTGGAGCACTGTGGTGGCAAAAGGAAATGACAGGAAGAGAAGAGCTAGGGTAGCTACAGGGAAGATATGGCTGTTATAAAAGGGGCAAATTTGACCCAAAACACAAACTGCAAACCCCTCAAATTTCATGCCCCATGTCACACCTCAGGAAGTTCTGGACTTTGGAAACTTGCACAGGCAGGGGAGAAGAACAGCTAGCCAACGTTAAAAAAAAAAAAAAAAAAAAAAAAAGAGAGACAAAACTACCATTCAGCATCTGAAGAGTTACATTTGATTTTCCAAAGCACCAGAAAATGAAGACACCCACACTGACTCATCCAAAGTTAGTCATTCTATTGTATACAAGGACACAAACAGGCATTTGAAACCTACATTTTGTGGCCTTGTCACTAGAAGAAAACTGCCACTCCACAATCTGACAGATATAAAAATACTCTCAATAGTTCCTCAACAACTGGCTCAATCTTAGCTTGCCATATATTTGCAGGTGATGGCAAATCTCCCCTGACCACTAAGTTATAATATTGCCAGACCCTTAAAAAAAGCAACATTGCTGTTATATCAGCTTTCTCTCCCCCTTCTTCCCCCCCCGTCTATTTGAAATCAAGCAAGCTACACAGATCTTAAGAAAAATTAAGTGTCAGCATCAGGCTAACTTGTTTTAATTACCCAAAGTTTTTAAAATACTTTAATACTACACTGGAGTGAAATTTCTAAGCGTTCTTCATGCCATGGAGTGTTTCAACATGCTCCCTGAATGCACACAAACAAAAAACATATGACAAACTGTTGTCTCCCAACTGATTAAAGTATTTCTTCCTGGCACACAAAAGCACTTAGTTAGCTTGTGTGGATCTGGGCCAAGAGAAGTATTCCACCCACTACCGAGCATAAAGTTCAAACACAAGCACAAATATGCTCAAATATGGGCCAGCTTCTGAAATTTCAGAGAGCAAGACAAAAATATCTATGCAACTTGTTATTAAACCCCAGATACTTGAGAGGTTCACAGGATTGGTCCAAGGGTTGACAGGTCCAAAAAAGAAAAACCCACAACCCTGTCACTCCAGTATCTGTTTGTAAAGATTGTGTGATTTTGTTTGATAACTCTTGGAAAGAAAAATGCATAATGTGCTAAACAACTCTGCAACCTGGCTAACAGTGTGCACACATTTCAGTGAACAAACCCCTGACAACTAATCTTCAGTAAATTCTCTTCATACCTTTATGAATGCCTGTCAATACAGTGTCTCTTTCCATAGTAATAATCATCTCACAGCTGAGTCAAAGCCCTTCACTTTCAGGTTTGATAGTCATCTCCAAGCAAGAGAGCACATAGAGACTATGCACATGTTATCACAAGAATGTTCTAGACATTTAACACTGAATGAGACTTCAAATAAAATCTCAAAGCCATTAAAACCCAATGTTTTCTATTACTATCTTTGACTGTATACCAAACATGAGACCAACTTTTACGTATTACTCAAACAAAATGCACTAACTATGATCAATGGACCACCAAAGTCGTCCTTGAGCTCCAAAGATTAAACTAAAGATTAGGATAGGAAGGGGGAAGATCCAGAGAGATTCACTCTATTCCTAAACAGTCCACACACACAAATATCAGACTTGGAGAACTACTGTGCTAAAGGGCAGAAGTATTAATGCACCATTAAATAAAACCAGGAGACATGGCTACACAAGACAACCTCTTGCGTGAATACACCATTCTTACCAATTTGCTTTTCCAGGTCTTCCCAGCAGTACTTTGTTCTCTTTTAGTTCCTTCACTCCCTCTGAGAATACTGATGAAGTCTCTCTTAGAAACAGAGGACATCAGTTTAGCACGTTTCCGATTAGAATTCCCTGCTTCTTTCGCTTTCTCATCGATGTTCTTTTGGTGCTTCCGGACAGCGTTAAATAACTGCACAACACCCCTAGAGTTAGAGAAAGATTTTGCATCAGGTTGTCATTACAGAACTGTACACACAATAAAACAACACTGTGCTCGTGTAAATACTAAAAAACAGCTTCGGTTCTCAAAAACACTGACTTAAGGCTCTAGCACAGCTAAGGAGCAAGTAATCATAATGCATCTCAGACTTACAGCATCCAACTCCTCCTTCACATCAACTGCTGCAAACCAAACAGACATTACTACTATTGGCCCCAGTTCAGCAAGATACTTAAGCACATGTATAGTCCCAATGAAATCAATGGGACTATTCACACGCATAACTGAGCAGTAGCCAGAGTTCTTAACAGGTTATTCAGCAAGCATGTCAAGGTACTTAAGGATGGAGTCAACTATAGAAGAATGCTCCATACCCTTCAAAACGTATCTCGTGCTACACCCACCTATCAGGGGAAAGAGCATCAGAGTGACACCAGCAAAATAAAAATACACATGGAGACAACACCAAAAATGTGTTATGCCAAAGACATGTGGTACTACATAGGGTAACATGAAACAGTCTTGGTTCTTGTGTTCAGATTGATTTGATAAACACTCTGTAGAGAAATGAAAAGAAAGTGGTAGATGTGATTATGTATGTTTAAAGTGCCGAATTAAAAAAGCAATGAGCACTGGCACAGCACTCATGCTGGGCAAACACTTAACACATTATATTCTTGTGTATACTCTTACGTTTTCATAAGACTTCTGAAATCTTTTGTTGAACTCAATACTATACAAGGTAAACCTAGGTATAAATCACTTGGCTCCCACTAGTCGCTTCTTAAGAGTTCAATTTGATTGGAAACAGATTACCCACACATACTTTTATATTGGTTTAAAAAAAAAAGAATAAAAACACTCTCTTACCTCGTGGCAATTCTCTGAAAATTTCTCTCAGTTTCTCTGTCTTTGGCAACATCTGGCTTCACTCTGCACATCATTTCCCACTCCCGCTTTTTATCAAGCTGGGTTATAAATATTATTGTGTGAAAAAACATTAGGCATTTTAAAATGTAAAATACTTTGATAGGATATTCTATAAGATGACAGATGATAAATCATTTGGACTCGGTTTGGTTCAGTGTAAGTAAAACTTCTAAATGTTACTTTTATGGGGCTGGACAATAGGTACTGGGGTTTGTCACATTGTTACACAAGGATGCCAGTCACTCTCAGCCTCTCACTACCACAGGAGATAAAAAGCCCTCAAGAGTTCCCCTTGCAGAAAATCTTCTGGGCGACCAAAAATGATTAATGAAGTCTGGGATGAAACTCAGCCAATCCCTTTTCGGCAAAGGAGTGGCCAACTCGTAGAAATGGAGAGGATTGCTCAAAGAGGAACCCCCCATATCCACCAAATCGTATTCTTCATTACACAGTGCAGCACAGGAGTAAAAAAATTTAAACTCAAATATTCAGGACCTGCCAATAAAGATGTGTCATGTTTTGGGACTACACAATTTAATGTTCTCCACTGAATAGACTATTATACAGCGTATTGTATTTTGTGATCAGCAATGTCACAGCAAGAATTTGGACCAAAGAGGGAGAACATTGTGTCCACTGGAAAAGAGCTGACCTACAACATTTCAGTTTTCTTTTGAAGCTTGCTGTTGTAAAATCCAACCTAACCGTATTCTCTGCTATCATCATTATAATTACTAGGAAATAGTGTTTTTATTTCCGCTATGATAGTGGAAGGTTACACTCCCCACCCTTATTTCAGGAACAAGCTATCAGCATTTTTTAAAGCAATTTAACTGTGTTCTAGTCACAGTGATCCTTACATTTAGTCTGTGTTATACAAAAACTCTTTCATAAAATTATGGAGTCCTTATCTTTATCATCCCAGGCAGACTACTATGAATGCATTAGTTGATGACCATGCTCTGGTCTTTGATCAAAAGAATTACCCTACTCTAACTTCCATCAGCATGGAACTAATAACAAGGCAGACTGTTTTCAAGTTTATGTAAGGATGAACAAATCAGTTTACAGCCTCACAGACCACCACTTATTTGAAGTACCCCACATATTTATTGGATAAAACCAGGTACTCAGCAGTTTGCAGTAACTGAATAGATTCCTTAATGCAGTGCTCTGTTTTCAAAAGGTGAGCTGCAGCCACCACAGTATGTCCCAGGCTAACCAAACTAATAACTGGGTCATCCCATTAAAACAGTATTGTTAGGCCAAGACAAGTAAAGTGTTTCTCTTCTATACTTTTAACACCAAGATAAATCAATTTTATATTTTTATCACAATTCTTCATAGAAAAAGCAGCTAACTTATTTACTCAGCTGCACCATTTAGTCACCTGAATTTCAAAACTGAATACAATTGGAAGCTTTTAAAATGTCCATAGACAGAACTTGAAAAAAAAAATAGTCATTGGGGAAAAAACTAAACTGGCAGCATGATTCTCTAGAACAGGTAATCAAGTTCCACTCTGATTTACACCCTGATATGAAATGGTGTAAGTCACAGCAGAATTTAGCCAAAGACAGCTTTTTTGACACCAGCTTCTTTACTAAGACATTGAAACTTTGTGTTTATTTCTATTGGTAACACTCCAAAACACGCTTGTCTCATATACCAAAAATAGGCTAGAACAGTGACCCAGAAGATGCTTTTCATCCCTATAATTAGAAATAAAAAGAGTCATTTAAAAACGTAACCATGTAACTGCTAAAAATTAATGTAGTTACATGTGCAGCACTATACAGTGAATCCTCCCGAGGAATGGAGTGCAAAGCCCCTACTGATTCCTCCTGGAGAAGCTTTGCTACTACACGCTCTGCAACATATAACATACTGCAGAGCCCACAGCAAAGCTAGCTCCATGGCCACTCCTGAGGAGCCAGTATGAAATCCTAATAGAAACAGATAAGATGAGGCTTATCGGTTAACCATTTCCACGGTTGCATGTTTGCATCCCTACTCACAATGGCAAATACTTAATTCAATCACAATACAGGCAGTCCCCGAGTTACGCTGATCCGACTTACGTCGGATCCGCAGTTATGAACGGGGTTTGCTCCGCATCTCCCTGGTCTGCTGGAGACGGGGAGCAAAGCCTCTGAGGACGCCGGCAGCGGGACAGCCGCGGCGTGTCTGGGCTGTCTGCTGCCCGCGTGCTCCCCGGCTTTGCTCCCCATCTCCCTGTTCTGCTGGTCTCCAGCAGACCAGGGAGATGCAGAGCAGAGCCAGGGAGGAG